ATCTCCTCTAAGCCCAGAATGTTCATGGCCTTCTTGGGAAGCTACAAAGGGAGACAAACTATCTGACCCTTTCCATGATCTGCTATCTGTGTCCCAGTGACCTGATGGTGCCGGAGACCCCGGTGTCCGTGGCATTACCTGTGATCTCGTGCTGCCTCAGCTCGTTGTATCTGTAGGATTGCTCCAGGGGCTTGATGGAGGAGTGGTAGATCTTCCTCAGCCGCTGCAGTGCTCCTGCGGGGGCAGAAGCATGCGGACGGGTGAAAGGCAAACCCCACCGCCCTAGTCGAGTCCCTCCTAGGTAAGCTGCTGGGCATTCCCTGCAGGTCTTGAGGGTGACTCAGCCATGGATCAAGGGACTTGGCTCACAGTTGAGATCTTGGCCAAACTGATCCTAGTCACACATTTTGATGCCCCTCCCCTGCTAATGTTTCCTGCTGGGCGCTGTCCCCATCGGCTGCCAGTCTTGCCCATGCCAGCAGCTGATGGAAGGAACATCTCTTGTTAATGCTGTTTGGCACTCAGCACCTGTGATCCCAAAAAGCCCTCCACCATGGTGCCAGTGACCCCTGGCACAGCCCCTAAGCCGCTTGCTAGAAGCTTTTTCCACAGCAGCTTTTATCACTTTCTTTCCAGTCCAGGCTGCCCATGGGGCCAGCAGAAGCAAGCCTTATAACAGCAAAACCCAATAAATAATTGGAATAAAAATCCCAACCCTTTATTACAAGTTGCCCCAGGTTTCTCCGGGCAGGGATGTGGCTGGTTTGGGCTGATTCACCATCTGCATCTTCCAGCCTCTCTACCCTCCTAATTCTTGTATGCCCTTGGGGCTGTCTTTAAAATACCTAAAATATTAGGTTAACAAAACCCAAGAGCAGCAAAAGGGCTGTTATTGAAGATATGGTGTTGCTGGACCTCCAAGAAGTGAGGTTAAAACCAAAACACTCTAGAGAAGGAAAATCCCATCCCTGCTCTTGGTGCAGCAGAATGGTGAGGAGCCTGTCCTGCAGGGATCGCATGGGCTGAAGGAGCAGGTCATAGGTGGCTGAGTGCCACCCAGGCCCCCTCACCTGAGAAATCATCGGCAGGTTTGTCCTCGTTCAGCTTGAGGGTGCTCTCCAAGTGGGACCGGTCGCGCTTGGTCGGCTCGCTGGCATCTTCAACCTCTTCTGGAGGAAAAAGGCGAGGAGACCTGTTAGCGCTGGAGGGGGAAAATCCACGCAGGAGCTCACACAAGCTACTGCCGGGGAGAGGGCACGGGGGAGCACACACACCCCGAGCCCACAGACCTGCCGGGCGCCTCGGCAGCCGACGTTGCCTTTGGCATGCCGTGCAGTTTCTCTTTTGCAAAGGCTCCCAGAGGCTTGGCAGAGGCTGCCGGGGGAAGCATCGTGGGCAACTGCTTGGCTCTG